GTGTGTGTGAGTACGTGTGTGTGTGTGTTGGGGGGGGGGGGGGGGGGGGGGGGGTGTTGCATTTGTGTGTGTGCGTGCATGTGTGAACCATTTGCCAGATTCTATGTGGTAGGAGAGCCGGAGCAATGACATGCCTTATCGACTGGCTGAAGAACTTCCCAGAAGTGCATGCCCTGCCAGAAGAGCATCGTCCAGATTTCCGAACGGAGACATTGATGGACCTAAAGGCGCTCCTTGAAGAGAAGTTCCAGCTGGAACCCGTCCATCCTCGCCTTTTGACATCTTTAATAAAGCCGCCCTCACTTAAAGCCACGCCTAATGAAAGCGGACCCGAATTGAAACCCACAACAACTGTGGAATATGCCAAGGGTAGCCATCCTGTGAATGTGAGTACTAGCAGTATGTGAAGCGCAACGTGTCCAGAAGAGGTTGTATATCACCTGGTATCAGGACCAGGAACAGGAATGAAGTACCAGGACCAGGAACAGGACTGAGTATCAGGGCGAGGAACAGGAATGGAACAGGAACATGAACGAGTACCAGGGCCAGCATCAGGAATGGACCAGGAACAGGTACCAGGGCCAGGAACAGAAATGGACCAGGAGCACGACTGCATATGAGGGCCAGGAACAAGGATGGACCAGGAACAGGACTGAGTACCAGGGCCAGGAACAGGAATGGGCAGGCCCTAGACGGGACCAGAAGCAATCCCACCAGTTTGATTGTGGACTGCATGTCTGCAATCCAACCATAGGCGGGGGATAATCAAGATTACCCTGTCTCTGCCCGCACCCTCCCTACCCTCCTCGCAATGAGACCGTCCCAAGGACTAGGACTGCTTTGTGTCCCGGGACCAGTCTGTGTCCCATGGCTCGGGTATTGTGAGTGGCGACCGACCCTGGCACCGTGTGCAATCCAAGCGGCCAGCACCAGGACCAGTACCAGTACCAGGACCAGGACCAGGACCAGTACCATACCTTACCTGGACCAGGACCAGGACCAGGGCAAGCTGCAGTGCCAGGACCAGGACCAGGACCGGGACCATACCTTAATTGTACATAGGATTCGACCAGAACGAGGACAAGGGCCAGGACCAGGACCCGGACCAAGACGAGAACCAGGCCCAGGGCCAGGACCAAGACCAGCACCAGACACTGAATTATACCGGCGCTTGTTAAGCTTCACCCCCACCTCGCATCTACTTGCAGAATTGCCCCTCACCCCCTTCCCTTTCCTTTTCTTTTCTTTTCTTTTTTTTTTTTTTTTTTTTGAAATGTCCAGGTTGTTGTAGAGGCTGGCTATTAGGCATATGTCAGGGCCGTCAGTAATTGCCCATTTGATCATCCCGATGTATTGCCTAACTGGTCCCCTATGAGACACCCTCCCCCTTTTCATCATTGTGAACGGTACCGACTCCTACCGAGTAGAGTGTCCCCTATGAGACACCCTCCCCCTTTTACTCATCATTATGAACGGTACCGACTCCTACCGAGTAGAGTGTACCAATAGAACAGCCAGAGCTCTGCCACGTGTACTGGTACCAAGGCATGAACGAGTACCAGGACCAGGACCAGGACCTGGTCCTACGGAGTAGAGTGTACCAATAGAGCGGCCAGAGCTCTGCCAAGTGTTCTGGTACCAAGGCACGTATGAACGAGAACCAGGACCAGGACCAGGACCAGGGTCAGGACTAGGACCAGGTCC